CTCACTTTGGTCAACTGCCTATGGTCAACTGCCCAACTCCCTATGGCCAACTCCCTAAGTTCAACTTCCCATGGCCTACTGACTAAGGTCAACTGCCCATGGACAACTCTTCATGACCAACTGCCCATGGACAACATTCCAAGGCCAATTCAGTATAGGGGTGCTACAACTGTCATAAGGGTGAAAAACGGCCATAAACAGAGGTGGGCCAGTTGGGGCGAACCAGTAGTTCAGACCTGCGGCCAGGCGCCCTCCCATTTTCGCCTTCTGGGCGGTTGTTGTTAACAGTACGTGACGTCCACCTCTGGCCTTATTTTTTTTTTAACAATGATGCTGTCACAACATTGGCCGCTAAGTGCACAGGGCTAAGAGAAGGAGGTTTACCTGTGTTTGAACTTTTTCCTCGCTAGCAAACGACATGAGCTCCCCGGGACAAAATTAGTTGTGGGTTTACTTTGTAAAGAAAAGGTTTCAGAACTTCAAAGAACTTCGAAAAAAATCCCAAGCGCAGCTGGTCGGCTGGTGCTTAAACGCAGAAATATCATTCTAGAATACTGTCCTAACGGGTCTCGCACAAGCCGTGTGCGGCGAGACTGAAGCCCGGTGGGCAACGGGGAACCAAGGTTTGGGGTCGGGGGTGGGGTGGGGAAGGGAGATTGAAAGGCCACCCACCCACCTGGCCCAGACATTTCCATTCGGCGTCACCAGCATGGTTCGTTCGCGTAAAGGAAAGGACCTGTGTGATGAGTCATTTTTAATCTGAACCTCAACGGCAGCTGAGAGGATGTTGGTTCGTATGTGGGAAAGCGATGACCAATTACGATAAGCCGAGTTTCGTACCCAAAAGATGGCTGATAGGCCACCGAAAAGAGGTTAAGAACCACACAGCGCCCCTGATGAACTGGACAAACTCTGTCCTCTGAGAGGCCCCCCAAGTTCTCCAGAACTTGTGGTGGCCTCGTTGACGTTCAACTTAACACTATTGAAACAGAGTGGATTTTCCTTCAACATTGTGCTTTTATTTTTGTGTGAGGATTGGGCCATGGGGTTCTTTTTCCGTCACCTTTCGGCCAGCCAAACAACACACACACACACACACACACACCTCTGTCAAAAATCATTCCGATGTGACGTGTTGTGTCTTTTTTAAAAAGTTTAAATCAAAGGTCATTGGGGGCGATATTCCGTGTTTAAAGAGGATAGTCGCGATTCTTCCATTGCTGCTTCTGAAGATGGCAAGGGTTGCTCAGATGCTTTTGCGGGTCTTTTGGGGGTCTCCTTTGGGTCAAGGAAGACTTCTTTTCTCTTTGACCCGGGGGGGGGGTTAGACATCTTGTGTGTAATATCTTTCCAAAAGGCCCCCTTTGAGACTGGAAAGGGCTTCACAGCTTCCTCCTTCTTCTTCTTCGGGGTATCTGTAGCTGCAGTCATCGACCTCCTGGGCTAACTGCCCATGAGAAGCTGTGGAGCAGAAGAAGAAGTGGGAGAATTGAGGGACAAACACAAAACTCTCTGCGCAGGCATGGCAAGCAATCCAAGGCCCCGGAATGGGGCGACTTCCCATGGTCAACTCCCATGGTCAATTCACTATGGTCAATTTCCCATGGTCAACTCACCACAGCCAACTCCCAAAGGTCAACTCCCCATGGTCAACTTGCTATGGCCAACTCCCCATGGCCAACTCCCATAGGACAACTCATTACTTCCAACTCACCATGGCCAACTCACCATGGCCAACTCACTATGGTCAACTCATCATAGTCAACTCACTATGGTCAACTCATCATGGTCAACTCACTATGGTCAACTTGCTATGGCCAACTCACCATGACCAACTCCCATAGGACAACTCATTACTTCCAACTCACCATGGCCAACTCACTATGGTCAACTTGCTATGGTCAACTCATCATGGTCAACTCATTACGGCCAACTCACCATGACCAACTCCCATAGGACAACTCATTACTTCCAACTCACCATGGCCAACCCACTATGATCAACTTGCTATAGTCAACTCACCATGGCCAACTCATCATGGTCAACTCATTACGGCCAACTCACCATGGCCAACTCCCATAGGACAACTCATTACTTCTAACTCACCATGGCCAACTCACTATGATCAACTTGCTATGGTCAACTCACCATGGCCAACTCACTATGGTCAACTCATCATGGTCAACTCATTACGGCCAACTCCCATAGGACAACTCATTACTTTCAACTGACCATGACCAACTTGCTATGGCCAACTCACCAAGGTCAACTCATCATGGCCAACTCACTATGGTCAACTCCCCATGGTCCACCCACCAAGGCCAACTGGCCACAGGGCAACTCACTGCGACACAATTCAACAATTCAATTATTTAAAATAGTTCATTCTAATTTTCATCCTTGGCATTTCATTTTGTCCTTCCTTGAATGCTCCCATCCCACCATTTCTCCGATGTGAAACCCTTTTCTCCCAGGGAGAGTTGGGCCTGGAGAGTTGGTGTGTGTAGACCCTTACGGAGGCCGTAAGTGGTGGGAGAGGGAGAGTTGGCAGAATACGGGTGGCCGAAATAGAGCAGGAAGGTGGCCTTACGTTTCGGGAACTTCTTTCGAAGCCAGTATCGGAGGAAGAAGTAACACAGCACCATGAATGCGAGACACAGAGCTATGATGATGATAAAAGCAGAGGTGACGAGGATCAGGTCGTTTCCCCACTCTGAAAGAAAGCAAAAACACATCCTTCAACAAAACCCCAGGACATCACCTCGGAAAATCTGAATTAAATGGTCCTGGATTCAAAGGGGCTGACAGGCTGACCCTAGCAAGGGTCAGAGGGAGGCCGGGGAATTCGTCTTTCGTTTCTATGTTGCTTCTCTCCTAGCTTAGTTTCCATCCATCGCTTCTTGCCCTGCCTTCTGGCGCTTTGGAAAAATAAGTTTAGGATAGGATGGGATAGAGTAGATGCAAAATGGAATAGAATGGAATGGTATAGAATGGAATCATAAAATACGGGATGGGATGGGATGGAATAGAATAGAGTAAGGAATAAAGAATGGAATGGAATAGAATAGAATAGGAAATAGCATAATAAAATATGGAATGGAATAGAATGGAATGGAGTAGAATAATAAAATACGGGATGGGATGGAATGGAATGGAATAGGAAATAGCATAATAAAATATGGAATGGAATAGAATAGAATAAGGAATAGAGAATGGAATGGAATAGAATAGGAAATAGCATAATAAAATATGGAATGGAATAGAATAGAATAAGGAATAGAGAATGGAATGGAATAGAATAGAAATAGCATAATAAAATATGGAATGGAATAGAATAGAATAAGGAATAGAGAATGGAATGGAATAGAATAGAAATAGCATAATAAAATATAGAATGGGATGGGATGGAATAGAATATAATAAGGAATACAGAATGGAACGGAATAGAATAGAATAGAAATAGCATAATAAAATATTGAAAGGAATGGAATAGAATAGAATAAGGAATAGAGAATGGAATGGAATGGAATGAAATAGAATAGAATTAGCATAATAAAATACGGGATGGGATGGAATGGAATAGAATAGAGTAAGGAATAAAGAATGGAATAGAATAGAATAGAAATAGCATAATAAAATACGGAATGGAATGGAATGAAATAGAATTAGCATAACAAAATACGGAATGGGATGGGATGGAATGGAATAGAATAAGGAAAAGAGAATGGAATGGAATAGAATAGAAATAGCATAATAAAATACAGAATGGAATGGAAGGAATGGAATAGAATAGAATAGAATAAGGAATAGAGAATGGAATAGAGAATAGAATAGAATAATAAAATATGGAATAGAATGGAATGGAAGGAATGGACTGGACTAGAATAGAATAGAATAGAAATACAGAGGAGAGAAGAGAAAAGAGAATAGGAGAACATAGAAAAGGAGTGGAGAACAGAACAAAATAGAATCACAGAGTCGGAAGGGACCTTGGAGGTCTTCTAGTCCAACCCCCTGCTCAGGCAGAAAACCTGACACCATTCTAGTCAACTGGCTGCCCAATCTCTTGTTTAAAACTCCCAGTGTTGGGTCATCCACAACTTCTGGCGACAGACTGTTCCACCGATCCATGGTTCTCACCGTCACGTTGACCCCTTCTTCTTTGGGGGCAGCCCCTCAAATACCGGAAGACTGCTATCAATGTCGCTCCCACTCACCCCCCTCGTCCCTTCTTTTTTCTAAACTGGCCCAACCCAGTTCCTGCAACCTATGTTCTTCCTATGTTTTGGCCTCCAGGCCTTCAATCATCTCAGCTGCTCTCCTTCCCCACGCTTTTTTCCAAATTCCCAATCTCCTTTTTGATTATTATTAATTTTTTTTATTTCTCATATATATATATATATATAT